TAATGTTGAGGTCAGCTGTCTTATAAATTATTGAGCAGATTAACAGTGTTAGGACTACAATATAAATAAAGGGTATGCAGTAGACAAAGGAGACACACAGCGCGTCTGGCTCAAAGACGAAACAGTGAACTGACAGAAGAAAAGATTAACGTGCTACAGATACATTGAAGAGCTTTCTGTTCCCTTTCCTCAGTGATTAAATGACTGATTGCTTTGTAACAGTAAATGCGTTTGTCTTTGGATACACAAAACCTGATGTTACATGATGCCAAGCTAAGACCACTGCCAGAGAAAATTCCTCAGTCCTCTCTGCCAGTGCCTATTAAATCCTTCCAGACAAATCAATGGGTAGGCCTTCAAAAAATTTAGTTTACTCCATAACTAAACAGGGACAGCTTCACAACAACTCAAGCTGGTGAGAAGCAGATCTGTCTTAATTCTTTCAGCAATTCCACAATTCTTTAAAGATGTTTTCCCCTTTGTCATAAAATTCTTTTAGATGAACAATGATTATGGATGTTTTTACAGAGGCCAGCGTGTTGGAAAGTCTAAATCAGACATTAAATTACCTACCATTTTCACAGCCTTAGATTCAGCTGCCAGTAACTGATACATAAAAATCCTAAGATAATGTCTATAAAAAATCCCATTTACCCCAAACAAAATTTCTTCTTCCCTTCTAACCTGACCATTTCAGCAGCTGTCCTGAAGAATCATAACGCAATAGTTTGACAAGTGCCAAGTAACCTGACTTTCTACTTCTTCCATCAGCACCCACATTGGAAAGGCAGTGGTGCTGCCCATAAGCAGCAGAGGCCAGCATCTTTATGTAGAAAAACTGTGTGAATAAGTTTAGTCCTAGCTTCAAAATGTAATTTCAAATAAAGCTGGTGAGAGTGCAAGGGTGACAAATTGTTTAGAAGTAATTCTTGTCAGTATATGGAAAGGATGTTTATAAACAAATTCTAAACTTGCAGTTGATAGAAAAGTAAGACAACACTTATTCCAGCAGACGTAGTTTATTTTAAATTTCAATCCAAAGCAACAGACTTCAACACTCATTATGGCTTCAAGTATTATTCATCAACATTTGTAAATTGCCAGGAAGAGCAGAAGTAATCACCCACTTCCTTACACTTTTCAGCAGCCACACAGAGTGCTCACAGATTTGAGTAGGCTCCTGAAGACTACTAAGTGTGCGGGTCCTACCAACAGACCTCAAGATGGGCAATTTGCTGAAGGTCACCTGACTGCTTACTGCAGTGCACGAGGGGATGAATGTTGATATTTAGTTACTTTTGAGAAGATATTTCTCCTCTTCATCAAAATAATCTGGAGTTTATAGATGGGAAGGATTTATGCAACTCACTTTTGTTAGTCACTTTTCTCAGAGTGGTCTGGTAAACAATGCCAAAACACAAGAGCTTCAGATGAAAACTGAAGAGCTGCTGGCTTCATTCATTACTGAGAATTACCAAGACTGTTTGAAACAAATGATTTTTCCTAATTTTTCTTGGCTTTCAGATAGTGACCCCACCATCATGTGCCACCATCAGTGACAACAGTAAAGAGAGAAATTTACTCCCACAGTCTAAAAGCTCTTTTCATATATTGCCTGCCTCCTCAACACCTACTCCTCCTCTTGCATTTTTTAGTGTAAACAACATTCAGTACTGAGATGTGGAATGAAAATCAACACAGAGATTTGCTGGTAAAACAATTTAACTTTATGCATGGGAAATAATGAGCCCTATTCCTTTAACTGTGGAAATTAGGTTGTCTTTTTTTTTAAATGTACTGAAATATAAAACTTGCTAAATCTAAATTACCAGTTTAATAACGTATTTACCTAAACATTCCTGGATGAAATATCAATTTGGAAGAGGCGCCAGATTAGATTCATCAGAAAACATATTGCAGAGTAATTCAGAAAATATTAAAATGTCAACCTCTCTCCAATCCTCCTTCTGAAATGCAAGAGATGATATTGTTGTTCAGCTTGATAGTTCTGTAGTTATGTTGTTTCCTTTCCCCCCACCACATTCTCCTCTAATTTGTCTGTATTATACAACTAAACTTGCACCACGTGGTGAAATGTTCCTATAGCATCATCCATACCCAACTCAGCAGGTCTGTCTGGCTGTGGTATTGATTCCAGCCCTGCAGCAGGAACATGGGGTTGCTTAGGGCTCTATCCGCTCTATGGCAGGCATACCTCTGCCCTAAGCAATACTTGCTGTAGAAAAGGCAGCAGCCTTTCTGAGAATATCTTCAGGGTGCTGAAAAGCATGTGCTGAAAAACACTTGTGTCATCCTTTGAACACTCGGCTTCCAAGCAGTAATGCTGCAGTCCCAAGCTTGGTTTTGTAAGGGGCCTGGCAGTCTCCAAGCATCAGGGAAGAAACTGCTTATGTCAGACAGCACCTAGAGCCAGAAAAACTACTATGAAGCCTTCCCTTTTCTCGGTGGCCAAACAGAGGCTAATGACTGGAATGAAAGCTGGGTGTGTTTCCTCAGATCTCATAAGTCCACAGTGAAAGTCTTCTGTTTACCCATAGAAATATCTGAGATCTACTGTAAAGCTGTGCTTTAGATCTCAGCCATCATAACTGTACTTCACAGAAAAAAAGACCTGTGACAGCAACTGAAGTTTATAGACAGATCAGTGGCATCAGGCTATTAATTACCCACTGTTTGTAAGTCTCTTTGAAATGCAATGTTGAAGCTCTAAACATTATTAATAAATTCTCAGTTACCATGCTGATGTGCATTTCAAATGGTTAGAATAAACTGTTATTCTAGTCATTATTCAAATCACTTAAACTGTAAAATCCCAAAATGGCATTACTGAGTGTCTGGCTGGATTCTAATATCTTTTACCACTTAAAATAAAATCCTGAAAATATATTCTAAATGCAGCTGATATCGTGATGCCCGTCTGAAGTTGCAGATACCATGAGACAGTAATTCTGAAAGATGGGAATATTCATGGCTTGAAGACTCCTTGCTTCAAAGGTTCACCAAGATGTGCACAGCCATGGGAGAGCCCAACGACAACACGGCACTGAGCCCGACCTGCATGGAACAAGTTCTGGGTCTCCCTGCTGCTCCTGAAGTCAGAGCTGTGAGCACAAAGCTGGAGGCCAATGCTGCAGCACTGCCTCTCTCCTGGAGCATTGCAGCAGCAGAGAATAAGACAGACTTATGAAAGCTGAATCACTGCAGAGACCAATGTTCTGTTAAGTTCCTGGTACACTGAATTGCTTTAGTAATCACTTTATACCCAACTGCTTTTAGTGAGTATTTCACCCTTCTGTGCCAGCTTTTCTTACGCAGATACATAATTTTAGATGAATTTCTTGATTAGAAGCTCATAGTTATCCAAGTCCTTTGCTCATCAGTAGTGTGACATTCACTATCTGCCAACACACCACTCTGGGAGATTAAGTAGAATAGATTTTAAATGGGATGTTATTGACATTTCAATTATTTAAGCTTTAGTAGAAAGTGACCAGATGAGGTTTAGATTGTATGATCCTCCTCACAAAAAGTTCTGCCAGTAGGGAGCAGACGAAAAGAATGGGTGAGGGGTAACTCAGTTGACTATAGATCATAGCTGAAGGCCATCTGGACAGACTCATCAGTAGGATAGATCCAAAAGTGCTTTATAAAACAGTTGAAGTGATACAGATGCTTTTTCTAAATACCTCAGGGTATTAGCAGCAAGCAAGAAAGGCAAGGACACGATCAGTTCCCAAACCATTGGTATAAATCAGCTACCAGCAAAATCAGGAGGCTAGCTAGAAGTTTTCTAAGCAGGAGAGGACCAGGGTTTTGGAAGACTTCCAGTGGAGACAAAAGAAAAAAAAACAAAACAATTTATGAATGGGTTTATAGCAAGCCAAAGCTATCTCAGGACCCTGTGAGTGGGGAAATCTCTCCTAGCTTTGCTCCCCCAATGTCATATTCCTATTACAAAAGTGTAAGATATAACAGTCTGTAATAAAGTGAGAACTAAGCTAAAAGCCTTAGATTACTAGTAGTTGAAATTATTACAGGATATCTCAGTTTACACAATGTTCTGTGTAGGAGTATCTGCATCCTGGATAGAATTTATGAGACAGCAGGCCCTGACCACACAATCTCAAAACCCCTGGCTGTGTATCATCATATGAGCCTGCTTCAGTCACTTTAGATCCTTAGTGTAAATGCTCACTGCTGCAGAAAGTCAGCAACATTTATACCTTTATTTCTTGTTGTTACTTTTTGCAACAGGCAGACAGGATGCGGTAGAGCCTCTAAAGAAGAATAAATCCTACAATGCTTTTGATTTTCACTGAGTAATTGTTCCATTTTTAAATGACTACAGATGTGCTGAGCCTCTTGACAATCACTATGTAGTAGGGAAAAAGTAGCCATGTATTCAATTTTTGTATTAATAATTACAGTAATTAAAACTGTGACTGAAAAGCCCTGAAAACAAGAAAGCCAAGATATTCAGCTATGGATGCTTTAATCCTAGTATCTAAATTCAATTCCAGTCAGATGAACAGGGAACTCCTTTAGCTGAGCAGTTCTGGCTCATAAGGGACTGGTTTATGCAAGGACTCGCCTTGTTTCTGAAGAACTACAAAACTGCTTATCTTTTCAAGAAGAGACTTCAGCACATCCCAAAATCCTGATGTAAACTGGATATTTTTTTTCTGTTAAGATACTCTGTACTCTCACATAAACATAATAGATTTCATTTTTTTAGCACCTTTAGCCAAAAATTGTAATGATGAGGATATTCTCATCAATGTATAGAGAATATTGAGGCATGTTCATTATCAGATTAGGAAGAACACTCTGCCAAGGAAAAGTGTAAGATTCTGCAAATCTTATTCCTGGGGAAAAAGCTCGTCATGCTACCTGAAGCAATGAAAAGAAAACAGTAAATATAATGAAGAATTAATGCCCATCATGCATCAGATTTATAGGCAATTGTCTGCTTCACATACCTTGAATTGCATAACGAGACCGACTGGGTTTTACTACCTGTGATGTAGAGAAATCATCCTCAAATGAGATGCCTGGAAAGCAATAATGTTGATATGAAATGGAATTTTTATGTAAGAATAACAAAACATTTGAGAATTAAGTAGATCTTCACCAATGTTAGTGGAAATGAACAAAAAATTTCCTGCCTCGGTTTATCATGAAAGAGAGTGGGATTTAGGAAAACATTTATACTTTCTACCACCGAGCATTAAAAAATATGTATTTCTGTTTTTAAACTTAAATCTGCCTTGATTCATCACCTCCAGGGCACTATAAGATTTCTATTAGTAGCTATTTGCAATCTTGTCCCTATCTCAAAATTAACAAAGTGCTCATCATTCATTCTTAGCTCAACATGAACCTTAAAATAGGACTGATAAAACAGACAGTGAACTGAGTGCCACCTATAGGAGCTCTGTTTCAAAGGAGCACAAAAATCTCATCTAAGATTCCCAGATAGAGAGCCAGATGCAGGCCATAGAGAGCAACACCAATCCAGAGCCAGCAGTTCTACAGTATGCTGGAAGAGGAGTGTCAAACAGGCACCATCCGTGAGTTTAAGGCACATTTTGGCTAATGAATTAGACTACACTTTTACATCTTTTTCCAGAAGAATTGTGATGCATGGGTGAATAAATGAAGGGGTCTGTATGTAACAAACCAGCTGCTTGGATGTTGAAACTGGTCTTCTCACCACCCTTCCCTTGGCCTTTTTGTGCAGGGGCTTAGGCAGTTCATCATTTTGCTGGTTGGCTCAATAAAACAGATCTTCTTTCCATTTTATGGACAGCCAGAGATTTCTGGATATGAAGATATTCAAAAGCAGTGAAGAAAGAACCATTGTCATTCACTGTAAAGTCGGATGGTTGCAGCTCTGAGAAGTAATGAATCTGCAGTTGCGATATATCCAATGATCCATGGGAGAGCAGGATTTCCAGATCTATGCCCTTCGACTCTAACATTAACTCCTTTCCCATCACATTCCAGAGGAAGATATCTTGGTTTGCACTACTGGAAAAAAGACTGCTAGATTTAATCTGTACTCACAGAAAGGCGGGGTGCTGATAGCCATGAAATGATTAACCAGCCTGATGGTAAATGATCGTTTGCAAAATCATCCCCCTGTGAATGAGCACAAAGAAATTCATATTTGTGTTGCACTGGAAACAGAAGTCTGGCTCCCTCTCTTCCAAGGGAGGTGCACTGCAGAGAGCACAACTCAGAAGAGTATCTCTACATGGAGAGAAGCAGGCTAGTGAGTGTGAATGAGCGAGCAAATCATGCTATTTTGACCTACATGTGGCACCCTGCACAATCAGAGGTTTTCATTGCAGAAACAGAAAAAGGAGTGTTTTGTGAGTTGCAGCAGCTGCTGTCATATGCAAAGATTTCATACAAGCCAGCCTAGTGGATTTGTTTTCCTAAACAAACTTGCAGTCATCTGTCTTTTTAAATATAACTTCTGTGACACACAGATGAAAATCTGAAAGTGATGCTGAAAGCTTTCCATGCTCTATTAATTTTATTATGTAAATCCACTCCCCAATTGATATTTTCATTCAAACTAGCACAAGATCTGTCATTATTCCTCGATGTAAACGGAAGCAAAACAAGTAGTATTCAAGCAAGTACACTCATTTGGATTATTATTTTAATACAGCAGTATTGTCTGTAGGTAATTTCTAAAGCATGTTTGCATAGCAATTCTAGGCTGCTTCTTCCCAGAGGCTGTTTAGCACTGTCAACATTTATTTCTTTTGCTTTTGTAAATATAATAGAAAGCAGAAATGTTTGACTTCAAACTAATAAGCAGATTTTGAGAAATGGACAACAAAATCACTCTTCTGCTCTTTGAATTATCTGTCTCCACACCTAATAATAAACCAACAATGGGAAAGCAAAACTCACAGAGACTGAAAACGCACAGAGAAACGTGCAAAGCATTCACAGTGTTTTAGCATCAATTCTAATGTCATTGGTGAGTATTAAATGGTTGATTAAAAAGCATTTTTAAGGCACTTAGTGTAACACATGTTCACCTTGTTCTAGGAACATACTGGCAGATGAATGTATATCATTTAACTGCTACAGCCTTTAAATACTTGGAGGAAGTATTCCACAGTAGCATGAAGTGTGCATGGTCTAAAGGCCAAGCACACAGAATTTGATTCCAGTGTAAATGTGTAGCTCAGTTACTCAGACCTAAACAAACACACAGAAGTTAATTGGAATAGCCAGTTAATCAAAGCAACAGGAAATTCTTTTCCCTACAGAAGCATATTAGCAAGTTTTATCCAAAGTATTATCAATTATGATTTGTAGTAGAAGAGCACATCATATTTTCACATAAAATTTCTGACAAAACATGTTCAAATATGCAGCAAGAACAAATCCCCAAAGCAACAAACCTTAAATCAGAATCCAAACCTTGAATCAGAAAGAAAGGCAAGAGAGGGGAAACCAAAGCAACATAAAGGTGATGCGATTTTTTCTATCCAGTTTTGTGCCCTGGTTGTGACAACTTGGGGAATCAAAATACAACTTCTGAGTAGCACTTAACAATCTAGAAGTGTTACCATTTTATTGTATCATGGTACTCCACAATGAACTGATACAGCATTCCTAGTGAAATTTACCTAGCAGAGACCTTGTACAGCTGCCAGAGTCAGGCTCTGAGAGCACTAACAAGCCTCTGTCCAGCCTCACCTGGGACCTCCACCCACACCACGAGACCAGGAGCCTTGGCCACACAATTTCTTTCCGAGCTCCACTGCAGGAGTCCTGGGCTCTGGTATAATCTCAGCCATGCCTGTTTGTACCCTCGCTGTCCTTATGCCAAATATCAATCCGCAAACTGGCTTCCAGATTTGATGTTGGCTGTGCCTCGTCACGATATGCCCCGTCCTCACCCGTGGATAGACCTCCTGCCTTGACTTCAGACCTGCTTTGTCACTGTACTGGCTCACTGTAATTGGACCTGGCTTTTATGTCTTCATTTTGATAGTTCTCCTGTTGGTCCTCATTCCTTTTCATCAACTCCTATTTTCTGAGTCAGTTTTATTTCCCAGAAGAAGCATTTGCTCTGCTTTTCTTCATCTAGTCTATCTACAAACCATCACTTTGTACCCCTTTCAATACTGATTTGAAGCCTCAGTTGTACCCCTTTGCTTCCTCTTTGGTTCTCTTCTCCCCAGGGGTTTTGCATCTCTAATGTCCAGGCAGGCAATAGAAACGTAGTCAAACTTCTAGTAGAGCTACTAGATGGTTCTTGTAGCTCTTAACTCCTTTACAGAATCACAGAACGACAGAATCACCAAGGTTGGAAAAGACCTTCAAGATCATCCAGTCCAACCATGTACCTATCACCAACAGTACTCACTAAACCATGCCCCTCAACCCCTTTACCTTGGTTGCTGGGTAATGAGTTGAGGATCATGAGAATCATAGAATTGCTCAGGTTGGAAAAGACCTTAAAGATCATTGAGTCCAACCACAACCTAATGATACTACTCTAACAACCTTCTGCTTAATCATGTCCCTGAGCAGCTGTGAAATGCCTGTGTTTTTCTCTATCTCTGAGATAAACTGTTTGAAGGATGGATGTATCTGGGCATACCTGAAGATTTGTCATAACCCAGAGATCAGGAAAACCACTAATTGCACAAATGTCCCAGGAGCAAGGCTGAAACTTTCTGGAAAAGGTTTCAGTCTCAACTGAAGTCTCATAATTAAAAAAGAGTTGGTGGGAGAATAAATTAATCACTGAATATAAACAAACAAAAAATCAACCTGCATCTAACTCAATACTTGCACTCTTTTCATGGTAGTTTGCTTTTCAAGGTCCACTACATATTTGCTGACACAAAACAAGATTCCAGTTGAGGACAGAAAGAGTTTTTGAAAAGTTATGAGCACATAAGTGTCGTTGGGGAACTCAATATGGTCATATTTGTCACATTTATGATTTCAGTCAGTTTTGAGCAAGGCTTTGTTGGTGCATTTTGCTTATCCTTAAGTTCTATGAGCATATTTTGGGTGTTCGGGTTTTATGGCTCAATTATTTTACTAAGAAACAACTACAACAGCATCAGTGTTATACCAAAGAAAAAAGGCAAGTAAATTTTCCAATTATCAAGGCAATGCAGCACTTGGTGTATATCATTATGAAGCTGTTAACAAAAATGCTACATTTTCATTAGCTAAAAGGCTATTTATCCCTAATGAGTTGTTAAAGACTGAGGGCAAAATTCTGCTTTCACTTACTCCAGTGTAAATCTGTAATCCATTTGAGTGCCTCTGGATTTATATTGGTGTCAATGAAAGCAGAATCTGACCTGAATGCTCTTGGATTTGACTTTGTAATCTGTTTCCACCCTAAGAAAGCCATTATTCACCAGTAAAGACCAATCAATAACAGTAATATTGGGTGGAAGGAGAAATGAAAGAATTTTTTTTTTATCCTGTTAAGGATACTTTAGGAAACACTAAATTTATTGATGTATGTAGCTTTTAACATGTAAAACAACATATTTCCAGACTGTTTTGCAGTCTGGATGCTCATGTGTATCTACAGGTAAATGACAAACATGGAAATTGAAGCTGGCCAGTTTCTACAGCTTCCCTTTTGCATGTAGAAGTACTAACTGGCAAGTGGATAATTGACAAACAGTAGGAAAGTGATCTGAGGTCAGCTAGAGCTTACTGAGTTGTACTCCAGTGCAGCAAAACATCAAAGTGATGAACACATTTGGTACAATATTCATCCCTATAATCAGACTTCTGAGAATTTATGTATCGTATCCTTTAAATGACTTAAATGTTGGTATTGGATTCAGTGAAGCAGATCTTGCCTTATAAATATATGGAATGGGTTGTATTTAACAGTTTTATACAATAAAGCAGATTACAGATATACGAGAGCCTTACAGGCCATAACATGACCATTTAGGTCAAAATGCTGTAACAGTGATGTTTACATGACTAATGTTTAAACATATCAAGCGTCAAGATCAAAAAATAGAGTAAAATAGAAATTACAGCTTTGAAAAGCAAATGCACAATAGCAGAAGAATCTGTGCATGTAATTAGAGGGCAATTAATGTGTTCCTCTATGGGAGCATGGTATTGCTAGTGGCTGACTACAGGAACCTTAAGTGCTAGCTGGTGATACTGGAGCATACATGTTATGGACTAGTGATCTTCACCGCGGCATTCTGCTTTTATTATTCCAAGTTTGTTGCTTCACGACTGTAGCATATTGAGCTGACCACACAAATGCCACACCTGGTCCCTCAGATGAATTAATACAACGATGGTAAATGAATTTCCATAGCTATTACTGGCATTCGTTTTTGGCTCTGAGACACATGGGAAACAAAGAAGGGTTCAGACACCGTGCTCTTGCTGCACTCTTGAAGTATTTGAAGTAATAGCTATGACTGTAGGGCTGTGTATCCTTTCCCCTACCAGCCTGACCTTATTCTAACTAATAGATTTATTTCTTCTTTTCAGTTTTGGAGGCAAAGATGAGTGCAGAGTGCTATGCTACTTTGTTGTACAGTAACAGCAGTAAGTGTGACCAGAATGTATTAAGTTCTTGCCTGCCCTAGTTTTTCAAAAACAGATTGTTGCTAATGCATAATTTTCCTGTCTTCTATGATTGATTCATCTATTCCTTTCATCTACTTTCATCTATGAAAGTATTTGCCATCAGTAAGCAAATAATATAAATATAATTAAAGACAAAAGAGAAGGAAGATGTATTGTATTGTATGAGATATTACCCAGGGAAAAATATTATAATAAGCATGAATAAAACAATGTTTACTGTAAAAGTAGAAACATGCAGCTAGATGAACATTTCCCAGTATTAGAAAAAGAATGATTTCTCTTTCCTTAGTTGCATTCATCTCTATGATCTTACAAGCCACCCTTGAGAGTGATATAAGTAGAATCATTGAGGGCAAGCATTAAACCACATTGTTTGACAGGCAGCTACAGGTAAAACACCAACTCAGAATGAAACACAGTATGTAGGGATTAGCTGGTCCAGTCTGTATATCTGCACGGAACTGATGGAAGAAGTTTGTCAAGTATGACTTGAGAGAAGGTCCCAGTCCCACAATATCACCAAATGCACTTTGGTTCTCATCGTCATCAGTCAGCTCTGCAGTTGTAACACATGCATTTTCATGTTCTTGGTAGGCAAAGAGGCAATTATATCATTTCACTGCTGCTGAACTGGAGCACAATTG